GTCCCATTCACTGCTTTATCTTTAGCACCTACACAGAGTCTGGCGCTAGATACTCAAATATCACTAGATGCTCAAGAAGTGTTTGTTGAATGAAGAAATCAATGTGTGATTATTAGTGTTTTTGTTTGTCTCTCCCTCACTGCACTATAAGTTCTTGAGACAAGAACTATGTCTATTCATGTCTGTATTTTAGCACCTAACACAGGGTTTAGCTCTTAATAAACATACTCAATAAATATTTTTAAATGAAAAAAAAAGAGAAAGAAATCAATGTGCGCATGAGTGATAGATTTGGGGGACACTTCAGAAAATTAACAGTCTAACAGAAGAAACAGACATGTTAAAACTGCCATAAAGCATGATAAATGTTACATCAGAATAGTATAGGGTATTATTGGTGACCTAAACAAGGGGCAGTATGTTAGGGATAGTTTCATGGAGGAAGTTATTTCGCTGAGTCTTCAAGGATGCATGGGAGTTCATCAGGTGGTTAAAGGGAAAGAGAGAAGCCTAAAGAGAGGAACAGCATCTGCAAAGAAAAGAGACAAAATACCTCATGTCCTTAAGTAGTTCAACACGACTGGAGCAGAGTGTAAGGGAGGAAGCCTCATACTACAAAGAAATCAGCAGCACTGTTTCAGTCCATAAAATCACACCTGCACCTGATGACCACCCTACTTGTACTTCTCTCAAGGGAATCTACTCCGTCCTCCAACAGCCTGCCCTTCATTGCAGCCGTCCAGGCCTGAGGGCAATGAGGGGCCAGCCTACAGGTGTTCTGTGTACTCTCTGCCAAGGAAAATGTCAAAGAGTATGCTGGAGTAAGAAGATATCATCTTTGCGTAAGGAGGTGGCAGCCTTTGACAGGTATCAATGCCCCTGCGACCTTATTGGCAAAGTGAAGGCAAAAAGGAGAGATGGCATCTCCAGGTCTTTGCCTGGGCTTGGGAAGCCTTTGTTAGAACTGAATTTGAAGCCAGCTGTCCGGCTCAGTTTTCTTTTCAGAAGATATAAGTACCCCATCGTAGCAAACTGACTCTTTTTAGTTATTTCCAATACTGATTCTGTAGTCATGATAAAGAGGAAAAAAAGCATCCTCCTATTAACCATCTATTAACCAGGAGAAGATTACGTACAGGACAGAGGTGGAGGTAGGGTTTGTGTCTGTACCAGAAACTAGGATAAGGTGACCAGACGTCCCGCTTTTGGCGGGACAGTCCCGATTTTTACCAATTTGTCCCTCTTTCCCATGGGACTTTTTTTAAAACGCCATGGGACGCAGGACAAATTGGTAAAAATCTGGTCACCTTGAGCACATTAAGACCAAACTAAGGGCCGAAGCCGGTTTGGCTCAGTGGTAGAGCATTGGTCTGCGGACTGAAGGGTCCCAGGTTCAATCCCGGTCAAGGGCATGTACATTGGTTGCGAGCACATACCCCGGCAGGGGGTGTGCAAGAGGCGGCTGGTCGATGTTTCTCTCTTATCGACGGTTCTATCTCTCTATCTCTCTCCCTTCCTCTCTGTAAAAAATCAATAAAATATATTTTAAAAAAAAAAAAAAAAGAGCAAACTAAGGGAAGGAGAGTCATCCCAGGCTCCTTTAAGGAAGTGGCAAAAACAAAACAAAAACAAACAAACAAACAAACAAACAAACAAAAAAACAGAACATAACATTAAAGTTTTGGACATGCTTTTTTTGAGTTAAAATATTACAAATCTACAAGATTCCCTTTTACCTGTCAAAATTTGGAACTATGATATCAAAACTTAGCTCTGAAAAGTTTACATTTGCACTGGGGACATGTGTGGGTTAATATAATGTGCTTGAAAACAAGATGGGATCTGAGAAAAGGATGAGGAGCTAACGTTTGAGGGGGAAAGGAATTGGGAATATCATGAACTGCCCAGATTTTACATTTGTCAGAGAGATCTAAGTCTGCCCCAGGCCTGCTGAGTTTTTCAGTATCCGGCCATACAACAAGTATCAGGTTTTACCACTGGTCAGAAAAATACTTGCAAATTCACCGGTCAATAGTTTTCCTTGTGAGGCTAGAATAAAATATTCTAAAAGTACTTTTCTGCCTTCTAGAAAATCCAAACTGCCCTCTGACTTTCCAGTCTTTAGTCCAAATCTTCATTTATTCAAAACAACTGGGGGTTAAACTTTGCTTAAGTGTACACTCCCTAAAACTGAATGCTTTGCTTTCAGGATAGTGAGACCAAAAATGTGATGAAATTCAAAGGAAGGGAACAGTGAGAAACAGCTATTGGCCAAATGAGCAAGGACAGCGATGATATGAAAGCAATAATGACTATATAACCTTGTATTTCAAAAGCATCTTTCTGCAAAAATAAAAAAAACAACTCACAATGTTGTACGGTTATGTATAGTTTATATTTTCTTTTTGGTGATGGAAAATAATTTGGTTCATTCTTAGTATATTTCCATAGCTATCCACAAGTATTTTGGCTGTTTCTATTTGCTGTGTCTTTAACTACAATTGACTTCTTCACTGAGCAATATCTGGAAATTGGACTGACTTTACCCTTTCTTCAAATGCATAGGGTCCTCCTTTCTACGTCCTCTTCAACTTAGAGCAGTAACTTTCCTTTCACCATGTTTGCAGCCTCACATTTTACTTGTCTGAATTAATGTGAGCATGTGCATTTTACTCTTTTAATCATTACAACTTGCCTGCAAATGCTGTCCTGCAGTTTCATTTATCACCATCAAACTTCATCATCCTGCTATCGTGATGTATGTACTTCTCGTTTTTTATGGGATTATTTTAATGCGTGTTATTCCACTTATATGGTTGTGTAATTATTTTTAAAATGTCTTGACAATGGGTGCACATCCATCAGGTGCTCCTGATTTTTTTCTTCATCCTACATAATGTAACTTCACAGTGCCATTGGCCCAATAAGTTCAGCTCGATGTATTCTTTCTGGATGTCTCCTCACCAGGTTAAGTTCTCCTTCTTTACATAGCAGAACTCTTTCTCTGCAGACTCATTTTACTCTGAAGCGGTTGTGTCTGATGAGTGTTCGTTGAAATCAAAGACCTTAGAAGCGAAAGCTCTCTTCCCTCCAATTTTTGATCTATCCCTTTGCCTTCAGGAAGACACATGTTCTCACTTATCAGGCAGTGCAACTGACGCCTGGAGAAGTAACATGTTTAAGGTCACACCTCTGTTCAGTGAGGAAGCAGAAGCTGGACTCCAACTCCCCAAGAGAGTTGCCAAAGGAGACTGGAGAAGGCAGTTTGCAAGCGAAGTCTCTGAGTAAGTAAAGGAGGTCATAGGTAATGGCGTGGAGAAATTATTGGTATTGGGACTCACAGCTGAACCACTTAAGGAATGCTGTGCTAATAAAGACCATTGAAAAGCTAGGTAGTGATTCAGTGGAGAGGGGAGGAAGATCTGAGGGAAATAATAGATCAACCGAAGGACTTGTATACATGCATATAAGTACAACCAATGGACATAAAACTCTGGGGACGGAGGGTATATGTGGAAGGGAGGGAGGGGAGCAAAAAAAATCAATAAAATATATTAAAAATAAATAAAATAAAATAAAATAAAATAAAATAAAATAAAATAAAGAAAAGCTAGGTAGTGAGAATTATGGAAGAAGGGGACTGTGCTCACACAGAGCCCAGTGGCCTAACGTTCCAGCCACCTAATGCTGCATAACAAAGCAACCCAAACACTTAGGGGCATAACACAACATTTTGCTCACAAATCTGCAGGGACAGCTCTACTTCCTCCAAGTTAGCTGGGATAACTCAGAACCTGAGTTGGAATCGTAAAGGCGCCTTGAATTCAGACACCTGGGGGACAGAACAGCTAGGGGTGACGGGGCTCCTTGGACAGCGCTCTCTATCTCAGCAAGTCTGGGCAAAGCCTGAGAATCCGCACTCCTCACAGGGAGCTGGAAGCCAGCCTCCACCATGTCTCCTCAGCCGCGGTGGTGAGCGCCCCCTGCCGACCATCACCAGTGGTGCCACCCGGGACTGCACAGACCTGCAGCTGACTGAGGTGGGCGGGGCTAAGCCGGACCACGTGAGGTTGGCCGGACAAGACACGCCCCAGACGCACATCCACATCTCATGGGCGGGGCCACCGGGACGCCTGGCCGTGATTGGTCAGCGCCGCCCTGCGTGGTGACGTCGTGCCCAGGCGGAACGTTTCTAAGAAGAGCGCGGGAACGGAGAAGTGGAGGGTCCGGAAAGTCCAGAAGGTCCAGAAGGTCTCGGGAAGACGTAGGAAAGGTGGTTCCGCTGCCAGGTGCTCCTGGGGAAAGCTGGGGTGCTGCCCCACGGGGGTGCTTCCCCTGGAGCTTCCCGCCCTGGCCGCCGGCTGCCTCCCGTGCCCAGGTGAGCAGCCTAGTGGGACGTGTGTGTGTGTGTGTGTGTGTGTGTGTGTGTGTGTGTGTGTGTGTGTGTGTGTGTTGGAGGAGGAGGTGACTGTGCTCGTGGCACGGAGAGAGGAGTGAGGAATATGCAGATTCCCTAAGGTTCCTGCGACTTCCTCTCTCCCCAGCACGCTCCTTCCTAAGCCTTTCATCACGGGCCTTGGGACTGTGGGAAACTAGGCACTGACTAGTTCTCCCAACAATTGTAAGTGCCTGCTGTGAGGTAAGTACCGCGCTGAGCTCAGGGACTGCCCAGATGATTGTCCTCAGTACCTAGAGGTGCCGGGCACAGGGCAGACGCGTGATTCCTATTCCAACCGAGCACAGCCGCTGCGGAGAGGACGTCTACCGGGAAGATAGGTGATTATTGCCGGGTGTGATAGGGGCTCAGTTCCAGGTGTAGGTGGAGACACTTTGGGAAACTGATACCCAATCTGAGGTGTGAAGGAAGACGCAAAGAATTGAAAAATCAAAGCCACTGTCTACAGGTCCAGTTGTAGATACATAGTTGCCTGTTCTTGCAATGAATGGAAAACACTTAGAAGAGTGTTGATTTCTTTTATTTTTAATAGGTACCAGAGAAGATGACAGAGGAACTGGATCTCCCGGGACAGGACTCTGATGGGGGTAGTGAGGAGGTGGTCCTAACTCCTGCAGAGCTCATTGAAAGGCTGGAGCAGGTAAGCACCCCAAGTAGAATCCCCTTGCTTCAATCTTAGCCTTTTTACTTAGTCCAGCGGTGCAAACGTCAGGAATCAGGAAATGAAGAAATGGAATTCAAAGCTTATTTCAAGAAGAAGAGATACTGGATCTTACCATCTACACAGAAATTAAAAATAGGAATGCCAGCCTGTGTTAGAGACCTCATCATGTCAAATACAAAATCCTCACGTGGGGCCAGGAAGGAGCAGCCTTAGGTACATTTACTGACAGTTCACAGAGCAAGCATTTGTTACTTGCAGGGACTACAGAAATGTGGTGGTGACTTGTAAGTTTTTGCCTTTGTCCCTTGAAACATCTGTTGGTTCCCCTGTGGAATGCCTAGTTGAGCAAGAAAGTACTGAAACACTTTTTTAAAAAAAGAGAAACCTGGGCCGAAACTGGTTTGGCTCAGTGGTGGAGCGTCGGTCTGTGGACTGAGGGGTCCCAGGTTTGATTCTGGTCAGGGGCATGTACATTGCTTGCTGGCACGTCCCCTGTGTGGGGTGTGCAGGAGGCAGCTGGTCGATGTTTCTCTCTCATCGATGTTTCTCGCTCTCTGTCCCTCTCTCCTCCTCTCTGTGAAAAATCAATAAAATATATTTTTTTAAAAAGAGAGAGAGAGAGAAACCTGGTATTATTATTATTCACCCTTTTCCTCCCATATACTTTATTTTTGCAATTGTTCTCTATATTCCACTTCTTATCTAAAATCATTTACAATCTATCTCTTCATTCAGTCATAATAGTTATGGTTTGATTGTTTCCTGTGTGCTAGTAACTGTTATTTACAATTACTATCTTGTGAAGCTAGGGTGTTCAGACTACCTGTATTTAAATTCCTCCATGCCTCTAGTCCTTAGGCAAATTACATAGCTTGTCTCAAGCACTTCTTTGTACAATAGAATTAATAATAGTAGCTACCTCACAGAATTGCTGTGGGGATTAAATGAGATAGTACATATATAAGGTGCTTAGCCTATTATATTATTTGACACATTATAAGCTCTCGTTGAATGTTAGCTGTGAGTAGTAATAATTCTTACAACCCACTAAAGGAGGTATTGCTGTTATCTCCATTTTACAGATGAGGAAACTGAAGCTTAGAGATGTAAAGGAATTTACCCAAGGCCACACAATGGCAGCAGGAAATAAACCAGGTCTCTGACTACAAAATGAATGTTCTTCTTTTAGTAGGAAATTGGGTTTGCAACCTTATATTCTTCAGGAAGGAGAAAGAGATAGAAACATTCATGAGAGAAAATAATTGACTTCATGCCCCCTACTGAGGATTGAGCCCACAATCTTGGTTTGTGCCCTTGTGACTGGAATCGAACCCTGGGCTCTTCAGTCTGAAGGTTGGCCCTATCCACTGAGTCAAACCAGCTAGGGCAAAATGTATGTTCTTAATCCACCACACCTGTTGCCTTATTCTTTTTTCTTTTCTTTTTTTAAATATATTTTATTGATTTTTTTACAGAGAGGAAGTTAGAGGGATAGAGAGTTAGAAACATCGATGAGAATCATCGATCAGCTGCCTCTTGCACACTGGGGATGTGCCAGCAACCAAGGTACATGCCCTTGACCGGAATTGAACCTGGGACCTTTCAGTCCGCAGCCTGACGCTCTATCCATTGAGCCAAATCGGCTACAGCCTGTTGCCTTATTCTTGCCTACTCCCTTTGCAGAACTCACTCATGTTTGTTACTTTAGTACCTATATTCATTCTTTCCTACCATATATTCCATCATAATTTTAAAATTATCTTCTATCCTAATTCTTACTATATAGTAGTGATTCTTAATTTGTTTTTATATCACAGACTTTTTAAAAAATCTGGCCCTTCTTCCCAAAATAATACATCTATATATCCATGCAAAATTTGGCTTATGATTTCAGGAGGTTCACAGACACCCTGAAATCTGCTCTTCTAGTTTGTGGACCCCAGTTTAAGAGCCCCTGATTTATTAGGAAAGGATCCATTGAATAAAAAACGCAAGATATAAGGAGAAAAAACAGACATATTCAACTATATTAAAGTTAAGAACTCTGTTTTTACACCTTGAAAGTAAAAAGACATGCCACAAAAACTGGGAGAAAATATTTGCAACATATATAACTGACAAAAGGTTAGTATCCACAGTACATAAACAGACTTTACAAACTGGCCTATAAAAAAAAAAGAAGTCTTAACAGGCATCTCCCAGAAGCAGAAAGCAGGATGTTCGACAGTCATATAAAAAGATGATCAACCTTTTTAGTGGTCAGGAAAATTAAAATTTAAATCCCAATGAAATATCACTTCATACCCATCAGATTGGCAGAAATGGAAAAAAATGAACAATATAAAATATTGGGAAGTACACTTATATACTGCGGAGAGCATATAAATTGATACCGTCATTTTGGGAAATAATTTGTTATTGTCAAGTTGAAGGCCCACAGATCTTTTGGCCCAATTATTCTACTCCCTGGTATATACCCTAAAGTCGTGGTCAGCAAATTGCAGCTCTGAGCCACATGCGGCTCTTTGGCCCCTTGAGTGTGGCTCTTCCACAAAATACCATGGCCTGGAAGAGTCTATTTTGAAGAAGTGGCGTTAAAAGAAGTTTAAGTTTTAAAAAATTGCCTCTCAAAAGAAAGATAGAATTTCTTGTCTTTCTGGGTAACTTCTGCAACACTAGTACAGAAGCTTGAGCACCTGAAAAAATTTATGATAGTACCAATACCCAGAACTTGAGAATGTGTTTTGATGGCAATAATTGGAGAAGCAGAGTCTCAATGATGTCAAAAGAAATAGATAGAGTCTAATTGGCATGTAATTCTGAGCTGTGCTAAAACTAAATTTTCTATAACTGAAAGATTTCCTCAATCACCTGTGGGAATTTTCATTTTCTAAGCCCTGGCAATTTCTAAAATGCACCAAGATCTGTGCCTGAATCATAAATTAGGGGTTTAAACTCTGTTCCAAAGCTGTTTAATAGAATATCCACTTCTATTGCTATTCTTTATATTCTTGGACATTAGTAGATAACTTAATCTGTGTTTTCTCATCAATAAGATGAGGATAACTATATTTATTTCCTCTCAGATATTATGATGATTAAAAACTATTTGCAAAGTGCTTTGAGCTTTAGGAATGAAGAGATGTATAGATTTATTAGCATGATTGCATCTCCCCAAATAGATAAGTGATAGTGCCCCTTGTGGAAATTGCAGGTGAAGGAAATGTGTTGATGCTACTTGGTGAAAGGTACTGTTTGAACACCAGGTGGTGTTACTCTCAGCAAGACGTTTATTGGCAACATTTTTGAAGTGAACAGTGATTTTTTTTTTTTTTTGTAATGATGGTTAAACATAAGTAAACCAATTTCTTACTAAAAGAAATGGAAAAACTGTTATTAAACAGCTTGCCTTCAACACATTCCAGTATTTCCAACTGGTAGGCAATTTTCTTTACCTGAGACAGCTGTGATTTTCATGGGGGTTGATAGCTCCATTATGAGTGGTGTGTGTGTGTGTGTGTGTGTGTGTGTGTGTGTAATTTTCTTGTTATTGTTGTTTTATAGGCTTGGATGAATGAAAAGTTTGCTCCTGACCTTCTGGAAAGCAAGCCTGAAATTGTAGAATGTGTCATGGAGCAGCTAGACCACATGGTAAGAGCCGCTTATCCCAGGGTTATAAAGGAAGAGAATCTTAAAAGGGTTTGTCAGTATAGTGAGAGGTATGATAACAAATCTGCTTTGTGTGGCCCAGCCTAGTTTGTTTCTTAAGTATTGAATTAGTTATCTACATTTACAAAGCGTGAAAGTACCTGTGAATATCAGCTTCCCATGAAAAGTCTAAAAACCTATCATCGCCAGCCCCATGTTTTTATACGAGAACAGCTGACCAAAGCAAGGTAAGGGCCTCCCCCTTTCAGGGAAGCCTCAATGCCCCATAGTCCCTACTGCTCACTTTTCTCCTATATCTTATCTGCCTGTTCCAGTAGACATGTGAGTTTGTGGCTCTTGTCTTAGACAAGCTTGGCTTAAATCATTATCAACCTCAGAGTAGCTTTAAAACATTGATATTTTATGATTCCTCAATTGATGTTTTACCTACTTTTTAGACTTTAGACATTTCTTCTGTCTGCTGTATTATCTCCTTTACTATTGGGATGGAATTCTTGAAGGTCCTTCTGACCAATCATATTCAGATTCTGTTTAACTGTTCTAAAAGTACAGGTACACCTAGTTTGTATGTGTGTTTTAATATATTCTTATTGAGTAGAGGAAGAAAGAGAGAGAGAGAGAAATAAAAACATTAATGAGAGAGAAATATCAATTGGCTGCCTCCTGCATGTCCCCCACTGGGGATCGAGCCCTCACCGTGGGCATGTGCCCCAACCCGGAATCCAGCCATGAGCTCTTGATTCATAGGCCAGTGCTCAACCACTGAGCCACACCAGCCAGGCCAGGTACATCTAGTTTTATTGCACTTCACATATGTTGACTTTTTTACAAACTGAAGGCAAGACCCTTCCCCGCCCCCCAGCAAAAAAATATTATGACTGACTTTATTGTGGTGGTCTGAAACAAAAACCACAATATATCTGAGGTATGTCAATGAGTATTGTTTGAACTTTATGTGATAAGACTGAAGTCATATTTTATTTGTATAATTAAGGAATTAACAAAATAGAACTCTTAGGAGTATTTTGTTCTTTTTTGACCTAAGGGTAGTGTTTGAGTCCTCAACATTGCCAATGATGATGATCCTTATGGGCTCTGGGTAGATTAAACAAAGAAGGTTCTTAGTCCTTGAATATTATCTATATAATAAAAACCCAGTGGTCATAACAACCAAAGACCGGTCTCCAAAAGGCTGTGTGCACGGCAAGGCACACATGGGTGGGCGGGGATGCGCAATTTTGTGCGCTGGGCTTCTAGTGTTTTTTATAAATGTCATTTTCCCTTTTAATAGGAAGAAAATCTCAGGAGAGCAAAGAAGGGGGACCTGAAGATCAGTATCCATCGAATGGAGATGGAGAGGATCCGCTATGTCCTTAGCAGCTACTTGAGGTGTCGGCTCATGAAGGTGTGGGGCGTGCAGGAGGAAGTCAATCAATGATTGTCTCTCATCATTGATGTTTCTCTCCCTTTCCCTCTTTCTTCCTCTATGAAATCAATAGAAAAAATACATATTTTAAAAGAAAACTAGTATGTTTGGCACTTGAGTTTTGACAGATGTTTCATGATGATTTCCATTTATCCTCACAGATAGAGAAGTTTTTTCCTCATGTCCTTGAAAAGGAGAAAACACGGCATGAGGAGGAGCCTTCCAGCCTTTCTCCGGAAGAGTTTGCCTTTGCCAAAGAGTGAGTGAGCAGTGAGTGTGGCAACTGCCTTTCTTCCCCTGGCCTGTGAGCATGAGTTTTTGGTGGTTGTGTCCACGAAACCTATCTCAGAGCCATTGTCTGATAAATGGGTTGGCTCCTACCAGTTGGGTTGTCATAGTGATTTTAATTTATGCATTGCAGGTACATGGCAAACACAGAGACCTATCTAAGGAATGTAGCCTTAAAGCATATGCCTCCCAACTTACAGAAAGTGGACCTCTTGAGGTCAGGTAAGAACATTCTCTTTTCAGTCATCCGGAGGGGCCACATTTACATGCCTGGGTGTTTGAGAATAAGATCTTTGCCTTTAATCTTTTTCTCTCAAACATGAAAATAAGTAGGTAGATAAGCAGGAAAGAAAAGAGAAGAAGGGTCTTGAGTTCAAAACAGAATGCCATTTAAAGCAGGTGTAAGAGTAGCCATGTGTTCTTCAAGGTTGGGTTGAAATTCTTCTGGCTGCCTTTATAGATGTAGACTCGCTCACACATTCAGTCACTCATCCTCCAGTGGTCATCCAGTGGTCTCACTGTGCTGGCCCTTCTGGGCACTGACGATACAGGGTCTCTGCTCTCACAGAGCTGGCAGTCTCTTCCTCACAGATGCCAGACTACAGGACTGTTCAGCTTTTAAGGAGGATTTAAACAGGAGGCTAAGGAAACCTTCAGTGATTCCTTCTTACCCACAGTAAAGGTTCCTAATGTTTTTGTTGTGAAGAGTTTCTCTCATTATGGAAAGGTGGGAGGGAAAGAGGCGCTGGGGGAAGTGAAGGATGGCCAACACCTCCACCTCTTGCCTTCTTTTCAGAATCCCCTTAAAATTCTGCTGAGAGGAGGGACTTATGGTAGTAACTCCTAACCTTGGATCAACTAACAGGAGTCCCCTAGCATCATATAGGTTAAAGTCCACATCTGTCTTTCACAGTTTGCCATATCTGAGCAGGACCTTGTCAGACAAAGTTGCCCAACCAAATCCAACAGTGCTCCAGGAACAGGAATCCACCTTGTTCACAAACTAAGCTTAGTGTGCTGAGGCCACAAGTTCAAGTACAACTGAGCCTATCTCCCACCAACCTGTGCTGGGTCACATGACCTCTGTGGCAGGTGGAAGAGCTAGGATAGAATGCATGGAGTCATGGTTCCCCAGATGTCTTAGTCAGCTCAGGCTATGATGACAGCGTACCACAAACTAGGGGGTCTCAAACAGCAGACATTTATTTTCTTACAGATCTGGAGGACAGAAGTCCATGGTCAAGGTGCTGGCAGGGTTGGTTTCCTCCGAGGCCTCAGTCCTTGGCTTGCAGTTGGCCATTCTCTCTCAGCTTCTTCACATGACTGCTTCTCGTTGCACCTCCTCCCAACCCTGAGTGTCTCTTCCCCTTCTTATAAGAACACCAGGCAGATTAGATTAGGCCCCACCCTAACGGCCTCATTTCAACTTAAATGCCTCTTTAAAGGCCCTGTACCAAACACATTTCTATTCCTAAGTACTGAGGTTAGGACTTCACCATATGAATTTGGTGGGGGCACAGTGCAGCCTGTCACATCAGGACCAAGCCAAACCCATACCAGATTGTAGAACTCTGAATCGATTGTTTTGGTGAGCCTGACTGAGGGAAACATAAGGCCCAATCCATGTCCAGTTCAGCTGCTTTGTCTGCACCTTAGAAAAACAGGAATGCAGCAAGGACCACATCCCTAATCATTACCCATTGCTATGGTGACCAGTTGATTAAAGCTGGTCATAGGACTACTGATGGGCATGCATCTGAATTCCTGGACCTGAACGTAAGCTGTTGTCCTAGAACTTCTATTTGATGCTGGCAGATACCTCCTAAAACATATGTCTCTGTCCTGAATTCCTTACAGGATTAGAGCCAGTCTTGGAATTGGAAGCTGGGGACAGCCTGTCCTGGTGAAATTGGAGTCTTGCTTTGTTAGCCCAGATGCTGAGTCCCCCTCAGGCCTCTGGAGCACTGTAGACCCTGATGGCAGGATGGGGGAAGGCATGTTGAAATCTAAGCTGGGTTTCCTGGAATCAGTAGCTTTCTAGTGGGGTCAATTGACCCTGAAGTTGGAGTCTTGTTTGGCAGGCCCAGAACCCTGGAGCAGTCAGGGCACCATCCTTAGACCTTAGGAGCCAGTTATCCTGAACCCCTTCCTATAAATGAGGAAATCAGGGTAGTGTGGAACCTGACTTAAGAACTGAGAGTCAGTAGGTTCTGGGCCCTGCAGTTGGTGGGGTCTCCAGGTACAAATGGAGCGCTAGAAAATCAGCTGTCGAGCAGCCAGCTTGGGGCATTTGAGGTATTGGTTGGCGGTTGAAGAGGAGGGATGGCACAGCTTCTTCACCTGTAATCAACCAGGGAGGGACCGCTTAGGCTGACATTCAAGACGATCACTTTTTATCCCAGTGTTTCTAAGACAGCAGGACCTCTAATAACATTTCATTCAATGTCCCTTCATTATAACATTGATGAAATGCCATAGGAACTTAATTCTTATTTATATTCATGTTATTTCACTTAATCGCAGAACCTATCAATGACATTAAGTGAGGACTTACTGTACTCTCTCCTCCTACTCCTTTATATTAGAAATATTTTCTAGTAGATTTGTACACTGTGTGTGTCCCCAGAAGGCCATGCCTATTTCTGTCGTGGCCTTTACCATTGCCTACCAGGGTCATGCTTCCTCTTTAAGTCCTGTTCTTTCCTTTAAAACGCACATCAACTTATTTCTCCCCACATCATTGGGGAAGTGTGCCACTCTTGTGTGGCTTCATCAATGCTGCTCTTACCACCTCGTCCGGAGACCACGTGTTCCGCCTGCCTGTGTCCTCCCCAAGGCGTAGCAGAATTCCCTGCACTCCTGAAGTCTTGCTCATTTGCTGAATGAACGGTTGCTCTGTGGAACCTGGGTGGGAAGTGTGCTGTTCCAAGAAGCCAGATCTCGCCTCAAACCATTCTACTCCCAACATGCTTTTACATCATGGGTCCTTTAGTGCTCAGTACAATGAATCCCAGCAACTTTTTCCATGTTGGTTGTGTTAGCTGAGCATTTTCTGATTACATTATTGCTTTTGTGGCAGTTCCCAAACCGGATCTGGATTCATATGTATTTTTGAGAGTGAAAGAAAGACAAGAAAACATCCTGGTAGAACCAGAAACAGATGAGCAGAGGTGAGTGATGCGTGTGACTTTGACAGTAAGAAATATTTCTTCCTATAGATGACCAGCTGAGCTCTACACTTTTTTTTTTCTTTTTTTTCTTTTTCAGGGACTATGTGATTGACTTGGAGGAAGGCTCGCAGCACTTGATCCGCTATAAAACCATTGCACCTCTAGTTGCTTCTGGAGCTGTACAGCTAATTTAAAACCAAAAATAAATTAGCAAGAAAGAAGACATGGAACCTTAGAGGAAACATTTAGAAGCCACACATATCATTCTGTGCCTAAGGACAACAGGCTTTTCTCAGCAGTGCTGTGAGTCACTTGGGCATTGAGAAGGCACCCAGGCAGAGTTCCTAACTTGCCACGTACCTTAACTTCCTGCCTGCCGGTTTGTTAGAATCAGCAGGTGGGGCCATTGCTCTGCTCAATCTGCTGGGCAAGTACATGACTTACTTTGTGCACCTTTTCCCTTTGCAGTGTTTTGTTTTGAGGTGTTTTGTTTGTTTGTTTGTTTGTTTTTTATAAATTTACTGTAGAAATATGAGGTTTTTGGTTTTTTTTCTTTAAATATATATATTTTTATTTCAGAGAGGAAGGGAGAGGGAGATAGAAACATCAATGATGAGAGAGAATCATTGATTGACTGCCTCCTGCACACCCCAGACTGGGCATCAAGCCTGCAACCCGGGCATGTGCCCTGACCAGGAACTGAACCATGACTTTGAGAGGGCTTATAGGTTAACGCTCAACCACTGAGCCATGCCAGCCAGGCCCTTTGTGGTATTTTTTGAACTAAAGAAAGTGAGGCAAAGGTAATTCATAAAGAGACATCACTGCCTGTGATTTGGCTACTGTAGTTAACGCTGACCTGGTGGTAGCAGAATTCATTTACCGTAACCTCCATAGTGGAAAGAGTGTAAATAGATTAAAGAAAACAGCTGTGACCTTCTTCTCTGATGTGTCTCTAAATTGTATAAACCTTTGGAACCTCTAACATTGGACATCAAACAGATTTTTGTCTCGCTTAACTGAGAGTCACAACTAATCCAATAAATCATTTAAGTTTCAGTTTTGTGGCAGAAGGAACCTGGGGACAGTTCTCGGCTTGCAGCTAACACAGTATGCTCTCCCTGCTGCTGACCCGCAGCCTTCCCGGAACCTCAGGCAGCTTCGCCAAGCCAGCCTCCGGGCCATCTGGTCATCCTTGGCAAGGCCCTGTTAGCGGAATGGCATTAATATCCTATATTGTGACTGCAGTAGCAGATTGTCTTTTTTAAACTTCACTTTATCAGGGGAAACCAGTGACATTAAATTTATACGAATGAAGACTATCACCCTGATGCCTGAAGAAGGGATGTGAACAGTGAATGAATTGTCTTCCCCTGAAACATGATAAAAAGCAGTCTGCATCCCGGTCTTTTCTTGCTTTATGAAAAGGCAGGCGGTTTTTATTTACGTGATATAGGCTGTTAAAGTAATCAATGTAATATTGCTATGATTTCCAAGAGAAATTGCCAAGTGAAGGCAGGAAGGTTTCATTAATAAAAGCATTTTAGCCCTGCGGGCAGCTCAAAAGTTGGAGCATCATCTTGTATGCCAAAAGATTGTGGGTTTGATTCCTGGTCCAGAAGCATACCTCACAAGGTTGTGGGTTCGAAATATGGTCAGGTTGCATATGGGAGGCAACCTATCAATGTTTCTCTCCTTTCCTCTCTAAAAATCAATGAAAACATATCCTCAAGTGAGGATTACAAATAAAGCATTTTATATTTTATATAGTAGCTCATTTTTTCCAAAATGTTTTTACCTTCTCTGGTCATCTTAAAAAACATGTATTGAGCATTTAGTACGATAGGCATGGTTCAAGGCACTGAGGCTCCAACCCAGGATAAGACAGGAACTGTCCCTGCTCACAGTGTGAGAAATACCTTGCAGAGAATTAGAACAGGTGCCTCAATGGAGAGTGACTAGATTGAGTAGTCTCAGAGGTTCTCACTGAATTCAGTGAATCTCACCGTAATAGGCTGAGATCTGAATCACCGAGGAGGAGCCAGGCCCACTCAGATCAAAAGGAAAGCTGTTCCAGGCAGAGAAGGCAGCTTGGACAAAGGCCTTGAAGTAGAAATGGGCTCTGCTTGCAGTCAGTGTGGTTAGAACACAATGTGTAAAATTGTGCAGGATAAGATCTGAGAGGCAGGCTGGGCCCAAATCATTAATGGGTTTGTTAGCAGAGATCCCATTCGGCCCTCCCAGCAGTCCTGAGAATAGGCAGGGCTGGTAGAGTGTAATAGATGGGAAACAAAGCGGGATGTTCATTGATAAACCTGAGACTAGAACCTAAGGGTCCTTCCTAGTCACAAGTATGCACACTCACTCACCAGGGCCTCCATCGTGCTAAGCAGCCAGGAGAGGAAGGTGAACTATTTACGCTGTTACCAGGGGCCCAGTGCCTGACATTCATGCATGGAGGGGGTAGGAAGGGAGAGTCCCTCAGCCCAGGCTGTGCCCTCTCACCATCCAGGACTCCTCAGGGGATGTCCGGCTTCTGACTGAGCACCACTTCCCCCTGTGGGAGCACACTGACCACCAGGGACAGCTCCTGCATGGAGCATCTGCCCCCTGTGGTCAGTGCACATCATAGCAACCAATTGTTCCCCCATCCGGTTGATTTGCATGCCTTTTATTAGATAGGGTAAGTACTTGTTAAGCCTTAATATATGGTACACAGGGCCTGGAGATCTTATTCAGATGTTAGATTCTGATTCAGGAGTTCTGGAGTGGGGCCCATGGTTCAAAGGACACCCTAGGCTGTGTAGTTGCTGCTGACTCAGGAACCACATTTTGAGTGGCAGGACCCTGCGTTTTCATGTCTCCAGCTCCTGTCCTGTGCATGCCGGATGCCCAGAGAAGTTTTAGTTCTCTACTGAAGCCACAGAGTAAATTGCTCCATTTCCTAATCACTTCTTCACAAGAAGACTGGCTTTAAAATAAATGGGAAGTCGAATTTCAAAACCAAGTAGAAAGGGAAATGAGGTGGCTTAATGTGACATTCATTGACTTTAAGTTTTTCTGTTGGTGGTGTTTGCTTTATTGTTAAAAACTCATCACAGGGAACATTTTCTTCGAATGATTGCATCATACTTTATTCTCATGAGCTTGTCACCAGCAAGATGGCTATTCCTGAGAAATGCTTGCAGGTTCATGTCTGGGTTTCCCCAACCGCAGCCGTGTGTCAGCTGTGACCTTCCCACAGGACCCAGCTGTGTGTGCTCTGTGACCAGGTCCAAGTAATTTATTATGGGAGGCTAAACATCCCAAACATTTGGAATTCAAGAATTGATTTTTCTTTTTTGTGTGTGTTGTAAAATATACGTAACATAACAATTGCCACCTTAACCATTTTTAAATGTACAGATAGGTCAGTGTTATTAAATACATTTACCTCATGCAACCATCACCACCATTCGTCTCCATAACTCTTTTCCTCTTGTAAATTTTTTAAAATATATTTTATTGATTTTTTATAGAGAGGAAGGGAGAGAGATAGAGAGCTAGAAACATCGATGAGAGAGATACATCGACCAGCTGCCTCCTGCACACCCCCTACGAGGGATGTGCCTGCAACCAATGTACATGCCCTTGACCGGAATCAAACCTGGGATCTTTTAGTCCGTAGGCCAACGCTCTATCCACTGAGCCAAACCGGTTTTGGCATCATCTTGTAAATCTTAAACTTTATACCCATTAAACAATAACTCTCCATGCCCCTCTCCCCACAGTCCCTGGACACCACCATTCTACTTTCTGTCTTTATAATCTTGACTACTCCAATGCCTTAAACAAATAGAATCATGTTGTATTTCTCTTTTTGTGACTGGTTTATTTCTCCTAGCATAATGTCCTCAAGGTCCATTCCTGTTGTAGCATGCATTAGACTTTTTTCCTTTTTAAGGCTGAATAATAAATATATCATGGTATGTATGTACCACATTTTGTGTATCCAATCATCTGTGAATGGAAATGTATTGCTTCCATCCTTTGTCTAGTATGAATAGTGCTGCTATAAACATGGGTATACAAATACCTTTTCAAATTGTTTTCAGTTCTTTTACATATATGCCCAGAAGTGGAATTGCTAGATCATATGGTATTCTGTTTTTAATTCTTTGAGGAACCACCATACTGTTTTTCACAATTTAATATTCCCACCAACAATACACATGGGTTCCAGTTTTTCAAATTCCTTGCCTACACTTGTTTTCTATTATTTTTTATAGTAGCCATCCTAATGTGCGTGCAGTGTTATGTCATTGTAGTCTTGATATACATTTCCCTAATGATTAGTGACGCTGAGCATCTCTTCATGTCATTATTGGTTATTCCTATATCTTTGAAGAAATGTCTATTCAGGTCCTTAGCATATTTTTAAATTAGGATTTTGTTCTTGAGTTTTGCGAGTTCTCTGTATGTTCTTAGGTATTAATCCCTTATCGGATAAAGGATTTGCAAACATTTTCTCCCATTCTGTGGGTTGCCTTTTTACTCCATGAATAGTATTTTTTATGTATAAAATATTTTTTAAATTTTTTTTAAATTTTCATAACACTTGGTTTGGCAACTTTTTCTTTTGTCACCTATATCTTTGGCCAGGGGTAGCTACTACTGTGTAAGAGCTGAAACTGACCAAAGTTAGCTGCAGTTTGCTGTTCAGATCTTCCCTGAATTTGGAAACCTTCAACAGACTTCAGAGTCCCAAAATAGTTCTATCAGACAGATTCTGCCAGTGCACTTGTCTAGGTGGAGAGAGATTCCTGGTGCTTTCTGCTCTACCATCTTCCCATAATCCTCTAAAAATTGATTTAGTGTATCTAATGGAAGTAGTCTCATCTTATAAAAAAAGAAAAATATTTTTTTAAAAAATCAGTATTTTTTACTTATTTAACAGACTTAATTTCAAATAGCTGTTTCTTAAAAAATTGAATATTCCTTCCATGACTGAAAAGCAACCATCACAGATATCCAAAAGAATGAACTGTAAATTCTGAAGATAATAATAATAATGAGTAAGGTTTACCCACTATTTATTATGAATCAGACTGTTAGGTAAACTTGTAAATCTTCACAACAACCCTGCACAAGGAAAAACCAATGGGTTGGAATGAATAAAAAAGATTACTGGATTATCCTCTCAATGGGATGCTTG